TTTTTTTTTTTTTTTTTTTTTTTTTTTTTTTGATATTGGGATTGAACTCTGGCCCTTGAGTTTGTGAGGCAGGTGCCGAAATCACTAAGCTAAATCCCTGGCCCTTACTGTTTTCTGTTTATCCCACCCATTCTTTATTTCTGCTTTTTTTTTTTTCCTTCTTTCTCTAGAAACGATCATTTTTCAGAAAACCATTTTATTTACTAACACCTAATAAGCTATATGTATCTCCTTACTTAGGTTTAGGGATTTTTCCACAACTGAACACGACAGTCAACTGCTTCCTGTCTTATGTCCTATCCTGTAGCAATGTGCTTTCCTTCTGCTCCTCTCGTACTCTGTACCACTGTCCTCATAGACACTAGTCTTCAACATGATGAGCTCCACAAATCGTTGCTGGTATTTTGCTTTAAAACAGTTGATTGTCTCTTAAAGAAATTGAAAGATGACAAAAACTTATGCTGGGCTTACAGGCACCTGGCTGAGAAATGTTCTTTGAGCGACTGTTCTTAAAAGTGTGTAGCACAGTGGTGTGAAATATTTCATGTAGGCACCAACTCACATTTCATGTGTTTTGTGTATGTTTGTATTTAATACACAAACTGTATGGACGGATACATAGCAAACACTGTTTTCTTCAGAAAATAGATTTGGGGGACTAACTTGTAATTGTCTGGTCTGCATGTGTTTCATGCATCACATCCATGAGAAACGTATCTAAACAAGTTTTTCTTTTTTAATAACATTTCTGAAACACCAGAATCCCACAGATATTGTTACAAACATTAGAGTGAAGTTTCATCTAGTTGTAAAAATTGCTTTTGCTTAACCTTTATCTATATATCTGCCATTCCTACTCTTCTTTGTAGATCCAACTTTCTACAAGCATCATTTGCACAACTTCTTTTACAATTTTTGGTAGTGCAAATCTGATAGTGTCATAATTGGCCTCCATTTTTTACAGTTATGTTAGGCAGGGGCTCTAGCTCAGTGGCAACACACCTGCCTTGCAAGCACAAGGTCCTGAGTTCGATTCCTGCTACCAAAATAAAAATAAATAAAATTTTTTTAAATTTTGTAATAAAATAAAAGTTATGTTCGAGTTTTAGATTCACGAGTCACCCTTTCACTTCTCTGCAGATTTGACCTCTCTGACTTCCAGCTTCCAAGCTAATAGTGCTGTCACTTCTTCATCATCCTGTGTATGCAAGAGTCTCAATTTCCTCTGGCTATTTTAAGATTTTTCTCTTTAATGTTGATTTCAGAAAATGGATGATGATATATGTCAGCACGATTTTCTCTGTATTTAGCTTTCATGGTCTTCCCTGAACTTCTCAGATTTATGGATTTGAAGTTTGAAATATTTCAGCCGTTTTATCTTAAAACCCTTTTTGATCTCGCCCCTCCCTTCAGCTTCATGTAGGTGTGTGTACCCGAGACCCTGCTTGTGGCTTTCCACGCTTTATTCTCTGCGTGTCTCAACCTGGATTATTTCTAGAACTATGTGTTCAAGTCTGCTAATCTCTTAATCAGCTATTAAGCTTAACCAGAGAAATTCTCATTTCAGATGTGGCTCTAATAGTTCACATTGGGTTTTTGTGTTCTGTTTTGCTGCAGATGGAGCCCAGGGCTGTGTACCAGGCAGCCCTTCCTGCTGTGCTCCACCCACAGCCCGGCCTATACTTTGATATTTTCCATTTCTCCCCTTGCTTGTCTACATTCTCAGCGAAGTATTTGCATGCAATTACAATACTTGCTTTAACCTTGTTTTCTGCTGTTTCCATGGCCTATCACTGTCTGTTCTGTGTGTGTGGAGTGACTTCTCTCTGGCCATTTGTTGACTTCTTGGTGGAAGTTTTGATTGGCTGATGGATGCTGCAGGTTTTTCGTTGTTGAGCATCTGGATTTTGCTGGCCTCGTCCAGGGTACACTGGCCTTTGTCCTGGTCACCAGGACACTCTCACGTGTGCCTTTCTGTCAGCCCAGATTCCAGGGCCCTGGCTACCTCCTCGGGAGCTCCTCCTAAGCAGTTCTTCCCTCTGTAGCTCAACCCTCAGCTTCCAGTGGCCTCAGAGGGACCCCGGGCTGCTCAGCTCCCCTCCCCACCTTCCACACAGCAGCCTGGAAGCAGCTCCAGCTGAAGCCCACTGGGGCCCCCTCCTCGCAGTCGGAGAGCTGCCACCTCTGCACTGCAGCCACGCCGCTCCTGCCTGGGGAAGGAGGTCCAGCACCCGCCACCCTAGTCCGCCCTATCCCAGGGGTGGGCGAGGGCAGCGGCTTGCCAATCTGGCTCTGCACTGAGGACCTGTCCCAGGCCGCTGCAGGGACACACAGTCCACAGGGCTCTTGATGGACAAGGAGTTGTCCTTGAGTAACTGTGGTTTCGTGTCCACAGATTCAATCCACTGCAAATTGAAAATATTCAGGAAAACAGTTTTCTGTGCTACGTGTTTTCAGGCCTCTTCACCCCTTGTCATTGTCTCCTGAACACTGAGTGCAATGTTTCCACAGCACGTACATCAGGTTAGCCTCGCTTGCCTAGATGATTAGGAAGCTGCACACAGGTTAGGTGCAAGCTTTACACGGGGAACTGAGCACCCGGGGCCTGGGCTCTCCAGCGGAGCTGTGTTTGGAAAACAGAGCTTGCAGCGTTCCTGGCAGATCGGACACACGGCTGAGGTCTGAGTAGCCAGAGGGATGCAGCTGCCAACCACAAGGTGAGGCAGTTTGGGGGGTAAGGGGTCTGGGTTGTCGGAACCCCGTCGGGTCATGCAAGAGTGATACCCCGGGCACCAAGTGGAGACGACAGATTGCAGCTTCAGTCTCCAAGACTCTGCGGAGAGCTCAGGACTGGGGATGTGAATGCGAGGGTGAGAACAGAACAGAGAAGAAAGCAGCCATGGAACAGGGCCACACGGGACAGCGAGGGCCTGAGAGGGACGGGGCGGGGCTGAAGATGCAGCGAGGATACAGTGACATGGGGCCACCGGCAGAAGCAGAGGGACAAACATCTGAATCTGGAGACAGGGAGACAGCAGGAAGAAGGGGGACAGGCACAGGAAGAGCCCCAGCAGAGCTACATCTGGAGTGGAAAGTGGGGACTAGAAAGCAGGAAGGCAGATGCCAAGTGCTGCTTGTCCCCATGGGCCTCTGGCTCTGGACCCCGCCTCTCCTGGCTGAGGCTTTGTCCGGGCCTGAGGGTTCCCCTCTCTCCCGCAGGCAAAATGTGCTGGAGAGGGGCGCCCCTGGCAGATGACCCCAGGGACACCAGAGCTGACACCTGCACTGGGCCCTGTGCCCTCGGTGGGTGGTGCTAGCCCTTGCAGCATGCACAGACCCTAGGCAGCCCGTGGTTTGTCTGTCGATGCCCAGGCCCCTGCTTAGCCCTGGCTGTGGTGGATTCTGTGCCTTACAGCCTGGACACTGACTTCCGGATGGGGCCAGAGGGGGCTGCTCTGCCCACCTGCCATGTTCCTGCCCCAAGTGGACCACAAACACCTGGCCTGGCCTCAGTTCAGGACACCTCACAAGGCCCCCGGCACCAGCAGCTGAGTTGCGCACCCTGCTTCTCTCCCAACGGTGGACAACACCCAGCTCAGAGTCGGCCCACCGAGACTCTGCCTTCCGGGCACAGGGTGAGCTCCACCTCTGGAAGGGGCTTGGCACCTGAGGCATGAGGTGGCAAGGTGCCATGGGTGGAGGTCGAGGCAGATCCCCTGGACTATTCTACCTCCTCGGGGACACAGGAGCTGGGCCATCTGCTGAGATGGAGACAGGAGGGGTGGAAGGAGGGACGTAGGGCGGGAGGCAGCAAATGAGCTGCAGACAGAGCTGCATTCTGCAGGCCCGGTCCACAGTGCCCAGGAAGATGTCCCTGGACCTGGAGCAGCAGTGCGCTGTGACAAGCAGAAGCTAAATCAGTGAGACTCCCTCCATAAACACTAACGGAGCTCCGGAGCTCCGGAGCTCCGGAGCCCTGTCCCACCAGCTGCCCTCCCTTCCTGCAGGACTTCCCAGAGGGGTGCATTCCCCTGGAGAAAGGAGGGGAAGCTCTGCGCAGCAGGGAGCAGCGATCGTTTAAGGAGGGTCATGGCCCGCCTGACCAGCCTGAGGCTGGCCAGCTGTGAGCCTCCAAACTCCCTGAGGCCTCTGTCACTTGTGCCCCAGCATCCTGACAGAACTGCAGGCTGCCTGAGCGCCACATCACCCTCCGGCCAGTGAGAGGGCAGGACGGGTGCCTTCCGCAAAGCCGCATGTCAGGGCCATCCAGCTGGAGCAGCCCCTGACACGCGCATCTGGTCCCCATGAGACCAGAGAAGCAGGAGGAAGGGAGGCCTGGTCCTTGGGAGAAGACAGCAGCTGGGGCCCTGGGGAGGCCTCTCCAGGAACGAGCACAGGGCCTTGTCTTGGGTAGCCGCCAAGGGTCCAGGGTACACCCCACATGCTGGCCTGTGCAGCAGGTGCTGCCCCCCACATGCCGGTGCTAATGGGGAGCTCCCCCTTTGCTTGCTTTCCATAAGGAGCCTTAGGGAGAGCCATGCCTCCATCCCACCTGTGCCCGCCCTCCCCGACTCCTGGTGGGGGCTCCGGGTGAGGAAGAGATGCAAGAGGGGATGGGGGGAGCAAGGCCCTTGTCTCACACATGCTCAATTGGAGGGGCCACCTGAAAAGCTCAGCAAAGAAGACAAATCACATCTGAGTGGATATTTCTTACAATCCAGGGTGATGGCAGTGAATCACTTGTCCTGAGTTCAGTACCCAGTATTGCCAAAGAAACAAGCAATGGCAAGTGTAAGTATGTGTCTGGTACAGTCGTTCAGGCCCACAGAGTTCACCACATCAAGCATGAGCTGCATGTGGGCCCGTTCAGGTGGACACAGACCTCACTGTGCCCACAGGGCACTCTGGGTGCAGGGAGGCAGCACTGAGGAGCTCTCAGTCCATCTCCAGCCTGCAGCCGGGAGCCTAAGCCTACTCTGAAAAGTAAGCTCTACAAAATTTAAGTAATGCAAATAGAGCTCAAAAACAAAAAATAAGCAACCTAACTCAAAACCGGACAGAGGACTGGAATAGATTTTTCTCCAGAGAAGTTGCACACGCTACCAAGAAAGCCACAAAAAGATGCCCCAGGTGGCCAGTCCTCAGGACAGAGTAAACCAAACCACAGTGAGATGCCGCTTCTCACCCTGACATGTCTGTCCTCCAGGATGGGGAAACAGGGAAACTGGAGCACTTGTGCCTCTCTGGTGGAAATGTAAAATGCAGCAGCCACCATGGAAACCAGTTTGGCGGTCCATCAAAAAGTAGACCGTTCAGTTACTGCGTCATCTAGAAGTCTGTATACATCCAGAAGAACTGAAGTGAAAGACGTGAGCAAATACATGTGCATCCATGCTCATGGTAGCATTAGTTACAATAGCTAAAGCAACCCATCAACCGAGGAATGGACTTTTAAAATGTACTTTATCCCCACAATGGAGTACTATTGAGCCATGAAAAGGAAAGGAATCTTGTTGCAGGCTACACACGGATGAGTGTGCAGGGCGTTATGCTGAGTGCAGTAAGCCGAAGGTTCCACTTGATGACCAACTCTGAGGAGAGAAATTCCTGGACACAGAAAGGAGGGCAGAGGTCACCAGGAGCTGGACAAGGGTGGTGGGGAGTTGTTGAAGGTGTCTGAAGTCTCGGTTTGGGATGACAGAAATTCTGGAACTGGATGGTGGTCACGGAGGAGCTGCGTGACATGTCAGTGTACTTAAGTATTAAAATGGAACTTTTATGTTACCCACCTTTTATTAAACTATAGTCGAAAATATTCAGTATTTTCAACTGATTCGAGGTCAGAGCCTGGCATGTGTGAAGCCCTGGGTTCCAACCCCAGCACCAAAACAATGACAAGACTGAGCCGTGCCCAGCCTTATTGGAGCCCGGCAGGAGGGTCCACTTAGACTGATCCTGTCTTCAGCTAAAATTCTGATTTTTGTCAGCCTAGATTTTTTGCAATGCTTTTGGTTTTTTGGGTTTTGGGTTTTTTTTTTAACATTGCAAAATCACACAACCTGTCTGGGGGATGGAATCTGGGAGGACCTCTTCAGTTTCTCCCCTAGCTATCTCCGCCCAGTTCCACCCTGAGGAATTCAGTTCCAGCCAGCACAGTCCGAGGGCCCCTCGGCCCTCCCGCATGGATAGAGCCCACCCTGAGGCTGTCACACGGTGGCTGGGTGCCAGGGCCAGGTGCCCGCTTGGCTTCTCGGCTGCTGGGCACACAGACCCATCCCATGCCCTGAGCCCCACCCCGCCATGGAACCACCTGAGGTGCCTGGAATGTCACTCCACCTTCAGACTGAAGAAAGCCCTGGACTCACGATGCCATAGCCACACCAAGAGTGTGGGAGCCCAGCCCAAAGCCACAGGGACGGAGAGCGGGATGGAGGACGAGGTGGCCAGGCTGGAGCAGGGCCTGCAGTACAGAACACGGATGCAGGCTTGGGCGGGGCACCTGGGAAGAGTTCTGGAGACATCGGCGGTGACAGGTGCACAGCAGAGCCCCCGGACTGTGCCCTGTGAAACACTCAAGGGAGACTTTCATTTCCGGCATGTTTTGCCTCTGCTTTTCTAAAAGGTGAAAAAACAAAGCAGCAGCCATAGCCAGGGAGAGCCTCTCAGTTCAGGTGCCCCCACGGCAATGGGGCCCACTGAGCGCTGGTGGTGGGGGCCACTTCTGTCTCACCTCCAAGCTCCAGGGGCCGAGGCATCCTGTGCCTGCAATGTTTCATCTGGCCAGAGGCCACTGTTTGGAAAACAGCAAAGATAAATATTTTTCACCTTGACTCGGGTCTGAGAATATAAACAGAAAAGATTCCATTTGGGTCTGGAGTGCTCAACTTGTTCTGTACCCAGATGCCTCTCTGATCCGTCGATGGTCAACTCCCTGCAATGTCCAGAAGTGTGGGGTCCACTCCACCAGCCACAGGTCTTCAGGGGCTCCAACTCATCGCCCAGGTGATGCCACAGTCTGTCCTGGCCAGAGCTTCTGTGTGCATCTAAGACTGTGACAGGAAGTTGCCGCAGGGGGACACGTGCCCCCCACACACATGGGCCCAAGTGGTTGGCCCCAGGCCTTGCAGCTGCCAGACACCCTGACTCTGGCACAGCCTCCCAGCCCTCCACCTGCCAGGCCAGTCCTGCTACATCCTGATGGCAGCCACACGTTCTTGGTGCCTAGAACCAAACATGTATGCCACAGGCCCTTGCCCGGCCCCGCCAGGATGGCTGCTCCTCTGGGCCTCTTTGTTTCCTCCTGCAAGTGAGACTGGGGTGCTCATGGCAGAGCCAGGACCCCTTGAGAGAAGCTGGTGGGCCAAAGGGTTCCTGCAGGGGCCTGGGTGACGCCCAGGCTGGCACATATCCGGGGACAGCTCTGCAGCACAGCACCCATCACAGCTCCAGGTCAGGGTCCAACGCCCTCCTGGGACTTTTGCATCTGCTCCTGGGAAGGCTCCTCAGCCATTACAGGGTGGTTTTGTCTTCCCAGAGGGAAAAGTATCTCCGTGTCTCTTTTGACACCATTAGGTCAAAAGATACAGAGACCAGGTAAGCCAGTAAATTCCCAGGCCCCTGGCTGATGGTGAGAAAGCAAGCCCTAACCCTGCAGACCCCTCCAGAGCAAACGGATTCAGTTCAGGACCCAGAGACCCAGGGTCCTGAATGCCGCTTTACCAGGTCTTGGGGTGTGGACCCTGGGTCTCCCCACGGCCACCCTGCCGTGGACCAAGCACACCCTCACTAGGACACAAGGCAGGCAAGTCTCAGGGCTTCCAGGAATGATTCACACCTTCTCTTACAGTAGGATGAAGAGCCCCAAGTTTAGAGGTCTTGAACCCCCCACCCCAGGCTTGCACGGTTGTGGAGGAAGCTCATGAGAGCGCTGGAGGTAGAGTTCGTAGCCCACACGTCCCTTTGGACAACTCATCTCCTGGTTTGCGGGTCCCTCATCAAATGCAATTTCTTCCTGGACGACAACAGAATTTCTCTGGCTCCAGCGGGGAGGAGCAGCTGTCCGCACTGTTTATTCAAATACCATTCTGGCCATCTTCACAGTGTTTTCTCTCTCTCTCTTCCCTGCAGGATCTGAACCTATCCGTGGGGCACTTGGACGCACGTGTCTACACATGGCCTTCCCAGATGTCGTCTACGCAGAGCACAGAAACCCTCTTCTGCAGAGCCCAAGCTGCCTTCCGCAGGGCTCCCGCCCCCACGCCGCCCACCCCCGCTAATGGGCTTGTTTCCGCGCACACTGGAGACGAAAAACATGCGATCCCCAATGTGTCTCTTTCACGACCACACATTTCTTTTTACCATGCATCTTGGCTGAGGGCCGCTTACAAATTCCCAGCAACGGTTCCCAAGTCGATTTTCAAAGAGTCCTGCACCTCTGACCTAATAAAAACCGGAGAGAACTGGACGAGGGCTTGCGGCACGTCTCTAAGAGCATTTTTTTTTTTTTTTTTTTTTTTTTTTTTTTTTTTTTTTTTTTTTTATTCCATGAATCCTGCCCTCATGCTGACAGCAGATCTTTTTTTTTTTTTTTTTTTTTTTTTTTTTTTGGTAAAAGTTCTGTTCTTTTGCCTTCGGTTTCCCTTGCTGCTTGCAGCTCTGGGCTTGCAGACCTGAGATTCGTTCCAGGACCTCACTAGCTTGCACACAGCAAGCGGTCCTTCTGACACGGCCGGGCTGTGACCGCAGCCATGCAGGGTCCCTCTCACCTCCAGAGGAGCCCCCTCTCCTTCCCACCCATGCCCCAAACCCCATGGCTCAGTGCCCCACCCCACACCCCAACTCCCCCGCAGGCCCAGCTTCGCCTGCCTTCGTTCCCACTCTTTGGCTCCCTCTCCCCAACCAGAGCCCACTGGGCCCCCACAGAAGGGTGCAGTCTCTCACAGACTTGATGGCTGATAGCACCCAGTATGCCTGTTCTGCTCTGGAAACAGGGTCTGCAGCGGCCTCGGCAGACAGACAGAAGCCAAGGTGACAGGTGGGCCGGCTCCTCGTCCCTGTCACAATGGGGCATGCACAGGCTACAAGGAGGGAGCCAGCCGTGTTCCCCACTTCCTCTGCTCTGTTTGGCCTTGATAAGCATGGGAGGGGACAGGACAGTGAGCTCCATGTTTCTTATTGAAGGCTTGGAGCAGCAGGCTGTGACACTGTCCCGGCTGCTGTGTGTGCAGCCTCACATGAGGAGAAGGGTACTCCTTCAGCTTCAGCAGAAGTTGAGGACCAAGCCCCACCCTGACTGTGACAGACTTCACTGTGCACCCCCCGGGGGGGGCTCTGGCTGAAACTGCGCTGTCTCTCACCCCAGGCCGGGGTTCAGCCAGCTAGAAGGGGGCAAGATGGCTCCAGGAGACAGGCCGGAAATAAATCCCAGATCTTTTTTTCTTTTTTGGCTGGGGATTGAGCCCACAACCTCCACACAGAGCCACGTCCACAGTCAGTTTGGGGGTTTTCTTAGGCAGAATCTTACTAAGTTGCCTAGGCTAGCCTCAGATTTGGGACCCTCCTGCTTCAGCCTGGCAGAGTGCTAGGATTATGGGTGTACACCCCATATCCTGCTAATACCAGACTTTATAAGAACAACAAGTCTAAGGCATAGGGGAAACAGGCAAAGTCTTCTTGAATGAGACTCTGATAGCACAGGAAATAAGAGCAAGAATCAATAAGGAGGACTACGTCAAACTAAAAGTGTCCTGCAGGGAAAGGGAAGTAAAAGGAATTAAGATGTGTTGTGTACCAACTCCCCATGATGAATGTAGTCATCATGTAGTGCAAACGTGTACAATAAAAATAAAAAAAAAATTTAAAGCAAATGTGCTTCTCTGGGGTGGGTGTTAAGGCAGCAGTGCCTGTTCAGAAACCTCTGTACCTTTTCTGTAAGTTCTGCTGTGAACTTAAATCTGTCCTAAAAAGCAAAGACTATTTTTTAAATGCAAAACATTGAATAAACGTCAAAAATAAAAATATAATGTTCCTGCACAGCAAGAGAAACAATTAGCAGGGTGAAGAGACAGCCTCCAGGAAGGGAGAAAATCCTTGCCAGCCACTCTCCTGATAGAGGATTAATATCTAGAATATATAAAGCACTCAAAAGAGTTAACATCAAAAGAACAAGTAACTTAGTCAATAAATGGGCAAATTAATCATAGAAATACTTCTCAAAAAAGTACAGGTTGCCAGTAATTAATTCTGGGGGAAAATGTCCAACATCTTCAGCTACCAGAGCAGTGTGAATCAAGAGTACCCTGGGTCAGGGATTTGGCTCAGCAGTGCCGCCACCTGCCTCACAAGCACAAAGACACGAGATCGATCCCCAGCGCCAAAAACAAACAAACAAAAAAACCCTGAAAGAAAATCCCAGTCAGAAAAGTTGCATTAGGATTAGAAAAAGTAAGACATGTTTGAAGGGAGGAGGACTGGGAGTTTGAGCCCAGTCTGGGCTACTTAGTGCCTTAGTGAGACCCTGTCTCGAAATAAAAATAAATTAGATTTTAAAGTCTGAGGAGGTAGATCAGTGTAAAGGGCCTGGGTATGAGCCCCGGTACTGCAAAAGAGAAACATACGTGCATACACGCATACATAAGCTTGTAGGTCTGCACTGGCAAGGATGGGGGCCTCCACACATCTGTGAGGGGAGTGTAAATCAGTACAGTCGCCACAGGAATCAGTGGGTAGCCTGTGCAAAAGCTGGAAACAGAGCTATGATTTGACCAAGCTAGAGCACTCCTTGCCATATTCTAGAAAGGATTAAAGTCCCAACACCACAGAACAGCTGCATACAAAATAACTCACAATAGCTGAGCTGTGTAAACAAATGAGCGGATGAAGAAAATGTGAGGGGTGTGTGTGTGCTTGCGTGTGCATGTGTGCAATGGAATGTCACTCGGCCATAAAGAAGAACGAAGCCATGTCACCTGCAGAGAAATGAATGAAACTGGAGACCACCTTGTTAAGTAAAATAAGCCAGTCTGAGAAAGACAGATACGTTTTCTCTCCTACAAGGGGTAGTCATATTATAATGTGAATATTTTAAAATTCTAAGGACGCATTATACTAAAAGTACACTGTCATTAATTGCCCTCAAAATCCTCCCCTGCTTCAAACACTCTTATCCCGCCATTGTTGACACTTTCTGAAACAGCTCTGGACGTCTTCTTGCCTGGGTGTGGATCTGACAAGGGATCTGAATCCAGCGAATGCTGTCGAGCACCATCCAATGGAAAGGCAGCTCGTGAAAACACAACTCTGTGTCCTTCTCCGCCTTCTTCTCCAGACCCGGCACTGTGTGACTTCCGGCTCCTATCTCCCAAGTCAAAATAACCATGAAAGGGTTAACAATGAATGTGGACATCAAAGGGGCCAGGGCAGCACAACTAAGATGCCAGGAAAGAGGACTCCAGAGCTGCTTCAGAGTGGCAAGATGACAGGATGAGTGTGTTCAAATCGAGGGGGAGTGAGGGCCGGGGATTTGGCTCAGTGGTCTGCCACCCGCCTCACAAGGACAAAGGACCCAAGTTCGAACCCTGGTCTAAAAAAACACATCTAGGAGGAGCATGGGGTGCAGTGAATGGCAATGTATCTTTTACTGTAATAACATGTTTAATTTAAATATTCATCATATTTTTCTACCCCTCATTTGTGGCTTCTGAAAAGAGAAAAAGATAGGACATGAGGGTAAAGGAAGATTATTAGAGAAGAGAACAGGGAGGGCTGGGGATTTAGCTCAGTGGTGCCTCTGCCTGCAAAGTCCTGAGTTCAGTCCGGGGAGGGAAGGGTGGAAATGATAAAGTATGTCACATGCATGTACAACTATGCCAAAACAAACCCACTATTCTGTACAGCTAAAGGGAATTAGTTAAAAAAAAAAAAAAAAAAAAAAAAAAAAAAAAAAAAAAAAACAAGACTGATGAAGCCACAGGCAGTGTGAGGCTAACCAGGTGCAGTGAGGCCCGAAGCCCACTGCCTGCTAGAGGGCTTTGCATGGCCGAGGGAGTCACACACGTGGTTGTCATCTAACACCATCCTCCTGAAGGGCCTCTGGACACCCTCACTGATGCTGGCCAGAAGCCTGTTGCTCTGCAGGGTCCACTTCAGTGGGAGGAGGAAGGATGGGGCACGGTGGACCTCAAATAGGCCTGCACGAGGGCCAAGGGACAGTAGACTAAAGCACTGGGTTCAACTCCCAGCCTGACCCTTGTCCTCTCTTCCCCACCTTGTCTAAGAAGGGGTTGCTGACCACTGCCTCTTCCCCTTGGTGTTCACTGCTATGCTGTTTCTGATCTTCTGGCATTGGTGAGAGGATTGCAAGTCACCCACAAATCCTGGATTAGGCCACAGGGCTGTCCTCATGCAAAGGAGCCAAGTGTGCCCACAGCCCAGGAGACTGCAATGATGTCAGTGACCCAAAGGAACAGACAAAGGCATAGGTTGCCAGTTGTCTGCCAACATCCTTTCCCTCTTCAGTGATAGAACTCAGCCTTCCATGCAGCTCCAAGTAATGGGATGGGATGGATGGATGGTTGGGTGGGATGAAATGGATGGATGGATGAGTGGATAGATGGGATGGGATGAGACAGGATGGAGAGATGAATAGATGAACGGGAGGGAAGGGTGGGATGGCATGTGATGAATGGATGGATGGATGGGATGAGATGGGAGGGGTTGGGCCACACACAGCTACATAGGAAAGGGCCACACACCCTGGCTTGTTTCTCCTGCTCTGCCGGCTGCATGGGGAGTCTGACAGCAACAGAATGGTAAGGGATGAGGGTAATCTGAGCCCCCAGCTCCATGGAGCTGCCACGTCAGCCTTGCCTGGCTATATAGAAAGAAAGAAAAGACCTTTCCTTACTTCACTCCCCGTGCCAATGGGACCCCTGACCCGGCAGCCTGAGATTTAACTCAGGCCAGTGTCTGCCACACGAATGTGCCTGTGTGTAGGCTGGAGGGGCAGGGACCCTGTCATAGCCTGGGGCTTAGGTTTTGCTTCATAACCAGGAAAGCACAGCAGCGTGGGTCTCAGTGACTCCTCTGTCTACCTCTCTGGGGAAAGGGCTGCATCATCAGTCTCCATGGCAACGCGGCCAAGCACATCGTAAACACTGGCACACGTTCACATGAGTGTGCGATTGTGTTGCTGTGGCACATCAGCCTGTGACACCCGGGGGAAACAGATGGCTGAGCTGTGCACCCTCTCCGGGCTCAGTCTGCTGTGGACTCTCTGTGGCCTCCTGGAGGAGCCCACAGGCAGCTGGACTGCGGAGACCACCCTGGACATCACGGTGTCACCATGGGGGCAGCAGTGCTGGGAAGAGGAAGAGGGGTTAGGCAGATGAGGGGCAGGGCTTGGCACTGGCCACATTCATCCTCTGGTGTCAGAGTGCACTCAGATCCCCACCTTTGCTGCACCCCCAGTCCTGTGCCCTGCAGCAAAGTGTGACAAAGCAACTTTGTCACCCCCATGCCACCGCCTCCCAACATACTGGCTACAGCACACAGTGGGTGCTTGGGTGCTTGGGCCAGGCACACAGTAGGTGTTTATCCAAGGTCAACCTAAGTCTCAGGTCCAAGTGCATCCAGGGACCCCAGGACCTGGCCCACTGCACCCTCCCTGGGAGCCTCAGTCCCAAGCTTCTCCTTGGCCACCTCTCCAGGATCTGGGTGTCCTCAGGAGACCCCAAGAAGCGGGTGCCACAGAACTGGGAGGCAGTGTTCCTTTCCATCTTCACATCGGGCTAAGACTCAAAACAAAACTGTCAGATTTCAGAACATTTCACAGCGGCAAAAATAACTGCACTTGGGGAAAAACATGCAGACACTTCTCAAAGTCATCTAGTCACTTCAACAATGTGCCAAAAGCTTCTGGAATTGACAGGTTTGATTTGCCACGCACCAACTGCACCTACCCCTGCCAGCCCAAGGCCCGGAGGGCCCCACATGCCAAGGCCTCGGCACCCAAATGATGACACCTTGGCCCAGCCTATTAATCGCCAGTTCAGAAATCATGCCCAGAATTCACCCACCCAAACCTGAGTTGCTGAGGCTGGGTGGGAAGTCCCATGGTCAGAGGCAACCACCGGTTCCTGGGGGACCTTCCAGCTGGACTCTGGAGATTTCTCTAGGTCCTCCACGGTAATAGAGGAGCTGGCTGGGCCGATGCTTCCCAACCAAGATGACATCTCCTGCCTCCTGGAGGCCACCTTGGCCACAGGACAAAGTTTGGTCAGCAGACATGAGTGGGAGGACAGCACCTAACTTCCTGTTACATCCCTGGCCCTTGCTCACCTTCCCATGAAGGCAGGTGGCAGGAGTGGCAGAGGCTGGGAGTG